ATGAAAATCGCAACGAGAGAATCGCAATGCGGAAATGAAAATCGCAATGCGTTTATATTTTCGCATTGCGATTATCTCGTTGCGATTTTCATTTCGCATTGCGATTTTCATTTCGCATTGCGATTCTTTCGTTGCGATTTTCATTTCGCATTGCGATTTTCATTTCGCATTGCGATTTTCATTTCGCATTGCGATTTTAATTTCGCATTGCGATTCTGTCGTTGCGATTTTCATTTCGCATTGCGATTTTCATTTCGCATTGCGATTCTCTCGTTGCGATTTTCATTTCGCATTGCGATTTTCATTTCGCATTGCGATTCTCTCGTTGCGATTTTCATTTCCGCATTGCGATTTTCATGTTGGGATTTTCATTTCGCGTTGCGATTGTATTTTCCGTGTTGCGATAGTCAAATGCATGCCTAATAGTGATAACAACTGAATAACAAGAGTTGGTTAAGTCAAAATGGTTGGCCTGAGTCATTAATTCAACTGAAAATGTTAAAAGTTCACACATAAAATCCACATAATACAACGTTTGCATTTAAAAATCACCTAAGTTAACAGTCTCAAAAGGTGAAGCCAATCGTGATTGGGATTTTAAAGATGATTGCCTTTTGCTTGACACCATATGAGCTTTGGATTTTGATGAGGATCCATATTTTGGTAGAGGAAAAGATGATTTTGATGGCACTGGTGATCCACATGTCAACCTTGTATGACCACTTTCCTTGCACCGACTACATGTCGATCTCTTCTTCTCTTCACCCTTAGATGGTATACGATCGTGACTTTTTGGTCGGCCAGGTAGCCTTCTGTCCATGGCTGGTGGCAAAACTGTTTGTAAGTCATCTGGTATGTCCCACTCAGAAGGATGTGGAATAGGGTAGACAATCTCGGCATAAGTCTGTCGATAAACTTCTGTAGTGTAGCAATCCATAGCGTATGCGCTTGAATCATCTTGGTTTAAATGAAGAGCAACTTTTATAACATGGCCACACGGATAACCAGATGTTTGCCATTTCATACAACTACACGTCTTTGCATTTAGATCGACTAGCCCATTTAAGTTATTATCCAGTACTTGAAACAAAGTGTTTGAACATGGTTCAACTCTCCATGACGTTGACTTCACAACACGTTTCGTTATCTTTTTTTCAGTCCATGGTGTAACACGATGTTCCAATGTTCCTGTAAATTTAAATAAACAATACTTAGTAAAATATATAATATGATAAGTTACGAATTCAAAGAAATAATACCTGCATGGTTTCTTTTCTTGTAGTACCACTGTTGAATAGAGGCTCGAAAAAACTCCATTAACATAGTAATGGGTAATTTCCGGGAATGACGACTTAGAGCGTTGATTGATTCTGCACTATTAGACGTCATGAAACCATATCTTGCTCCAAGTTGATGTACTCTTGACCATCTTTCAAACCCGACATCTTCTAGTGTTTGAGCACACTGAGGCAAAACACGTCTTAAACAATTTATATGCTTATTGAAATCCACTTCCCGATAAGCTTTTACAGCCTTCCAGTATGTCCATTTGTGCTTTTTTATACCAGCAGACCTTGATTTTAGATTTCTATACAAATGAACACCACAAAGTCCATGAAAAGCATCTGGGAAACACCTTCTAACAGCGTTGTCAATTGAGTTTGCCCTATCGGATATGATTGTCAGATTGCTAATAGGACCTATGCAATCCCTAAGATGCCCCATAAACCATGTCCATGAATCAGAGGTTTCAGATTTGCCAACCCCGTAAGCTATTGGCAATATCCCATTGTTAGCATCCATGGCTACTGCTAATAAGTTTACTCCAAGGTATCGACCTTTCAAATGTGCTCCGTCAACTATAATAACTGGGCGCATGCAAGTAATAAACGAACGAATCTACAAAATAATATACACAAGAAATATAATCATTTAAATGTGAAATGCATGTAACTAACAAAAATGAGTCAACAAAATTATATTGATTTACTAACCGTAGCACCAATGGCGATAAACAGCAACTCAAAGCGTCCATCTCTATCTGTTTTGATATGAGTTACCGACCCAGGATTTTTCAGCTTTAAATTGTGACAATAAGCCGGCAGTTGGGCAAACGATGCTTCTGGCGACCCCCTCAACAATTCCAAGGCATAACATTTGGCTCTCCAAGCTTGAGAATATGATATACTAATCTTGAACCGAGCATTCATGTCAGTCATAATTTCATGTCCCCGATATACCCTGCCATTCAAAAACATTAACTCAGCCAGAAAACCACCCAACACCTTTTTGTTTGCCTGTCTATGGTGAGGAAAAACTTGGGTTCTTGAACATGTATGTTTATCAATAAAAGTCCTAACTTGAAACATTTTGCAATCTTTTATTCTCTTTGCAATCATACGCCACGTACAGTTTTTGTCAATCATACACCTTGTTTCGAAACGATCTTTGCTTGATTTGTTAACTTTTAGTTGATAGCCATCTTCCACACATTTCGTATATAAAGCTATCTTCAAGTCTTCCTTTGTATCAAAACAATCATCTTTCTTGATACGAATAACTTTTGTGTAACAATCAACTGCTTTCTTTATCAACTCTTCTTCCGGTATCTGAAGTAATTCTGGCATATTCCAGTTATACGCCCGTGGCATTTTCTTTTCTTCGGGGACTTTTTCTTCTTCTTTTTCTTCTTCAGGATTATATGAATTACAGAATGGATGTTCAACATGTTCATTCACAGTCGTAACTTCCTCCTCATTATCATCAACATTACATTCTTCGGCAACGGCTGTTTCATCATCAAAATTCGGGTATTGACCAATATCAATATCATTACACGCATGGTCTGTTTCTTCTTCTGAAACATCATCAAAATCCGTGTATTGACCAATATCAAAGTCCGGATATTGACCAAGACCAAATTTCGAATACTGACTAGTACTCACAATTTTTTCTGTTGGCTCATCATCGTCTAACTGGTCAATACGAAAACCGGAATTTGGTGCTGAAAGTTGATTGGGATTTGGATTAGAGAAAGGTTGTGGGTTTTGAGAAAAACTTATTTGATTACTACCCGCTACTGACCCAACAATACTACTTCTAGGTTCAACAACATACAATGTAACATCATCTTGTGAAACACTAATGTAAGCAATGAATCGTTCAACATCTTCATTGTCGGTTAACAAATAAACTTTACCATTTCTCTGATAAGATAGCCTAAATCCACTTAGGGGCTCTAAATTCAATTTATTTGAAACACGTAGCATTAGAGTTTCATAAGTTAACTTTTGTAAAGACAATTTTAGTTGAAGATTCATGGGTAAAGGCATATATTGTAAAACACCATGAACATTATCCCATGACCCTCCAAAACACAAATCTATCCAAACATGATCAACATTAGATGATTTCATGGTTGTAAATTAATTTACTAAACAGACGAGCTGCGAAACTAAAACCTGTTGCCGGATTGGGAAGGATGTCGTTGGATATAGGAACGGATGTCGCCGGAGAGAGTGATAGATGGAGATGGAATGAGTTGCGATTTAGGGATTTAGTTTATGATTTCAGTGTTATATACCCAAAATTTCAGTGTTGTGATTTACAGATTCTCGTTGCGATTTACGGATTATCGTTGCGATTTACAGATTCTCGTTGCGATTTACGGATTATCGTTGCGATTTACGGATACGCGTTGCGATTTACGGATTATCGTTGCGATTTACGGATACGCGTTGCGATTTACGGATACGCATTGCGATTTACGGATACGCGTTGCGATTTACGGATACACGTTGCGGTTTACGGATACGCGTTGCGATTTACGGATACGCGTTGCGATATACGGATACGCATTGCGATTTACCCATACGCGTTGCGATTTACGGATACACGTTGCGATTTACGGATACGCGTTGCGATTTATGTGTTCGCGTTGCGATTTTCATATTCGCGTTGCGATTATGGAAAATCGCAATGCGAATTTGTACTATCGCATCGCGATTTTCAAGAATCGCGTTGCGATTTTGGAAACTGATTTGCGATTCTGGGGATCGCGTTGCGATTTTTATTTCGCGTTGCGAATTTGTTGGTCATTTTGGCAAATCCAAACAAAGTTGGTTAAAATCGTATATTATAACTTTTTTTTGGTCACTGAGGCGATTTTCTCTTAAAATTATCCCCTTCAAAATGTAATATTAAAAAAGTCAACAAACAGCAACACCCAATGGTCTTTTTGGTTTTAGAAAATATAGGTTCTTTTTATTTTCTTAGAAAATAGAAAAAGTCGAAGAAAACTTTTGGTTGTAAAATTAGAAAATGATTTCTAAAAAATAGAAACAAAAATAAGTGAAAATATGAAAACATAAAAAAAGATATTTTCAGTTCTTCACTATTTTCAATAAAATTGTTTTGAAAATTTGAAAAATAAGGAAATGTGATATCTAGAGTTTTAACTTAACTTACACAAATTTAAATCATTCTAACAACAATTTTTTGATTTAATGATATATGAAACTCTCAAACTTTTGTAAAAAATCAATATGGTCCCTAGACCTTTTTTACACTTCAATGTAGTCCTTAAATTAAATCTTTTTAATAATTTGATTTTTTTAGTATTTTTATATTTAATGTATTGAATATCTTAATGATTGTTTATATTTTTAATCTAAATATATTTTTTAATTTTTAAAAAATTAAATAAGTCGTCAAACTCTCTAAAATAATCAATTAAGTCATTCTATCACATCATCATCCATCGAGTATTGCCACAATACTCCCATAGCATTGGGCGATGCTCTATCCTCCATGCAGAACTATGGGCCCTTCTTGACGGTTTGAACTATGGGCCGCTATAACGTTTTCGGTCCGCTATTTAAAACCCTGATTAAAACTACATGATTGACACGTGAAGTACATAATACAAATATCATGTAATACCGGACGTAGCCGAAATTATTTCCTTATTTGATACTATACTAATTTTCCAAGTACACCCACTAGGCCGAAGCCGATAGCTCCCAAGTAACATTGCAGCCAGAATTGGTCTTAATTGGTGGAGGATACATGACGGTGCGTTGGGTGGGTGGCACTGACCTACACAAATTATCCATATCGTCGGGGCAATTTTGAAGCTGAGAAGGTGGCATTGCTCTTTTAAAGCATAAACGAATCTCCTTCAGGTATAACTGCTTTTTGCCTTTAATTGGCATACTGCATGAGATTTGAGGATAGAATCCCACGTTCTTTTTCACATTTTCTAATAAAGTATCTATCTCATATGGAGTATTTGATGGTTGAACTCCCAAAACTGCATGTTCAACAATGAGATCAAGGGTAAAATATAAGAAATATAAGGACTAAAGGTGAATATTTGATCGAGTCGAGTCGTGTCAAGTCAAAAAAGTTTAAGTTACTTGAGTTGATGAATGTTATTTTATTACTCAAACTTCATTTAAAAATATTTTCGCGTCAAATCAAACTTATAAAATTTGAGTTGAGTTATTCGAGTTTTTGTTTAAATTTAATTGTAAATATTTATAATGTTATGATACTAATTGATTTTAATTTAACCGGTTACTATAATTATATACTATATACTTACAACATGAGTTGAAGGACTCAATATATATACACATATATATATATATATATATATATAAAATATATATATATACACACTAATTGGATATCTTAAAGTGTCAAGAGTCCGGAAAAGGGTTATCCTTAGCATATCAAATTTAGCTTTAGATTCAAGTCACTTTTGTTTGTACCTTACTTGCTAAGATTAATGTTAAAATTTACTTGCTAGAATTTTTATTTTCATTCCTCTTTTTACTAAATTCATATATCTAATATATAATAAAGATGAGTTTAGACAAGACTCGTATTTCGAATTCGGTCAGATTTGGACAAACATAAAAGTATTAACCTTATGCTTATGCATATGTCGTATTCGAACCAAACCTTTAAAAAAACTCTAATGATAACCAACTCGAAGTAGTGCATGTCCACCTATTGGATGAAGTCTCTACCATCTTTGATTTCGATCGGGACAATACTATTAGTGTGTACATTATGGATACTTTGTCAATAAATATAGATGATTAGGGTTAATTTTTTCCGAGTGAAATCGAGTTTATGAAATTACCTTTGAGTGGGTCGTATTTTCTGTTCTCGGCAAGATTCAAGGCGCTAGAAAAATAAGTGAAAGGATCTTGAGGATAATCAGAGCACATCCCATGGTGTGACCATTCAGTTTGCCAGAACAACTCGTCACGACCGGCCGTTCTACCCTTTATAAGGTTTGGCCATTTTGTCTGTAGTCTCCCTTTAATGGGTGCAAGTTTACCCTGCCGAGTTTAAATAAACAAATCAGTACTACAAGACTTAGAAGAAAATCAATGAGTTCACAATGAACTCAACTCGCACACTTCATAGTAGTAAACAGTAATACTTGAAGAAGAAAAGAAAAAAGAAGCTTACCACAATGTCACCTGGAGCTACAGGACTGGGATTGCAGTTATTATCGATTGGATCATAAGGAGGAATAGACGTGTCATCTTTCAATGCTGGCCATAACCCATGGACGGTGAAGATTTTGGGTATTGGACTGATACAGTTTTGTGGCGCAGAGATACATACAGAACTCGGCCATATCAGACTCAGTTTATAGAACGCGAACTCAGAACCTTGAGCTGACACTACCGAGCTCGCTAGCACAGCTGCTGCAAATGCTAATAGGTGCTTCATAACCATTGCGCTTACGACAGTAAGAGATGAAGAAGAAGAATTTGTATTTAGTTTCTTCATACTAAGCTTGTATTTCCATTACCATGCTAGGGTTTTTATACCAACTTTTCAACGTCCTCTTTGAACAATATATTCTCATGAATTTTTGTTTGATTGAGAATCACTGCAAGTATTAAACAATAATATATTCTTTCCAAAAGAATATAATTGATGTGTTGTAATTTTAGCTCGAATATTTGACTAGTGTTTATTTTGTGTTCAAATACTCTTTGATTGTTCATTATTATTGCTTATTTGGGTGTTTCTACTTGTTTTCTATGTAGGACCCTGAATTATGAAAAATGTGCTTAAAATACGAAGTTGTGCATCTTTTTTATTTTTCCAAAATCATGGGCGACCTAGTGGGCATGAAAGTGCTGACGTGGAATCCAGTCAGCATCTTCTAAAAGATCCAGTCAGCATTTTCGCTGAAACAAAAGACTCAACCGCAAATTCAAATTTAAATTTAGGATTTATCTTTATTTTTAGATTTAATTTCAAGAATTATCTTTTAGAATTTTTAATGTAGACTATAAATACTCATCGGGGTAAGCCTGAAAATCATCATCTGATGATCGAATCTCTCATCTCTCAACTTTTGAGTTCTTTTGTTTCTTCTTTAGTTTTATAAAGTTATTTTTCTTTTACCTTCGTTTTTTATTTTTCTTTAAAGTTTTTTTTAATACTAAGCATGACTTTTGTCATGCTTAGATAATTTTCTTTCAAGCCAAAGGTTGAAGTGATGGCTCAATTTCTAACGTGAGAATTGAAAAATACCTCGTACTTTCGGGTTAAATTTCTCAATTTTTCTTGAAACTAGATTGACGGATTGTCTTTCTTAAAATCAAAACGCTTTCACTTCAAAAATAGATTTTGCCTTGGATGTCGTGATGGTTTATCGTTAGGATTATAGAATCAATTGATTTGAATTCCCTTAAACACACTTAACGACAGCTCGCTAAAGGGAAATTGGGATCAAGTTCGATTTTCATAGAGAAAACATAGTTCGAGTCGGGCATTTCCAAGCGCTTTTAAACTGTGTTTAGTTAACAACGATATTCACAGTTAATCCAAACAAGGATTGAGATTTGTAAAGTTGATTTAGGAAAATCAATCACCAAAGAGAAAAGTGAGCTACAAGGATTGAACCTTGTAGACTCAAACTGACATTTAGCCGGAGTAAAATCGTATTCAAGGATCGATTAGGAATTGAGGCAAAGCTAAAACCTGATGCTGATTTTTATTATTTGATTTTCATATTCTTTAAATTCGTTTTCTTTAAATCTTTATTTTCTTTACCTCTCAACAAAACCCCTTTTTTTATTTTACTTGCAACTTTTTGCCTAGATCAAAGATAAAGAAACAATCTACATCAGGAAGTTTCCTCAGTCCCTATGGGATCGACCTTTACTTCTCTTTTACTACATTTAATTTCGTTTATTTATTATTTGAGATGAAGAAATTATTTTAACGAGAAAATGATGTGTGCCAAATTAGCACTATTGCCAGGGACTTCGGCAAAAGTTACTAATCTTTGTTTTTTGATTTATGACAAGGCAAAATCCAGGCACATTAGAAGAATTTGATCCAGAAATCGAATCATGAGCTAGATGAATCCACAGAAAAATGCTTCGAGAGAAAAGAAGACAACAAAAAGAACAGTCAAATCCCGAAGGATTGACTAAAATTGATGCCACACAAGAAGAATCGACAAATCCCAAAGCATCATCACGCGCCGAATCGCACTCTTCATTACTCGAAGTTGAATTCGACACACAAACGTCGGTCATGCCCATACTAACCGAGCTAGGCTATTATTGTTAATAAGAAATAATAAAATTTTATTTTATATTTTATATACTGGGTTTTAACCTATTTTTAATAACCCCCGTGCGTGAACCAACCCCAAAAACCGATATCCTCCACCAACCCAATCGTCCACGTTGCATCACTGTTCAGCCTCCTCTGATCAGCGTTGAAGTACATCACCACGTCTATCGAGCTCGACAACAATCGGCGTCCTCTATCTAACCGTCACCGAGATCGACCACCGTTAGGCTCAAAAAAGGTGAAAACTGTTCGTCGCCCCTCCTTATCACTCCGTGCTCTGGCCTGCGATACAAGTAACTGTCACCTCCAATCGAAGCACTAGGCCACCGCAAAGCAATCCCAACCAACCACCTACGCTAATCGTTCGCCATTTGTCGTGTATGGGTATTTAAAGTTATGTGGAAAACCCCTTATCACCTTGGTTTTCCCTGATTTCAAGTCGTTCGAGGCGTTGGTTTGCCTCACCGCCTACACCACCGAACTCCCCACCTCCATGCACTCAAAACCCGACCGAGACCATTGCCGATCGCCGATTTGGGTAAGATTCAAATGATTTTTCAGGTTGATTTAAGTTGTTTTGGTTGAATATTGGGTTACTTGTGAATTAATTTTGGTATTTAGAAGCTGTCGGAGTGCTCGGCTGCTGCCCCGACCTGTCGCTTCCACTACACGCCGTCGCGTGTGCGTGAAGCTCCTCCCCGACCTTAGAACATCTTAGAGCCGGTTCGAGTTACGACGACATGTGATAATCTTGGTTGGGTTTTGAGCGTACATAGGTGGGTAGTTTGGTGGTGCGGGCGGTGAGGCGAACCAATGACTCAAACGGTCGAAATCGGGGAAATATCAAGGTGACGGGGGGTTTTCGACGGAAATTTACACGCCCATCCACGGCGAACGGTAAACGATTACCGTCGGTGGTTGGCTGGGGTTGCTTCGCGGTGGCCTGGCGCTTCGATTAGAGGTTGCGGTGACCTGCACCGTCGGTTGGAGCAGGGAGCGACAATGAGGGGCGACGAACGGTTTTCACCTTTTTTACGTCTAACGGTCGTCGGTCTTAGAGGTCTAACGGTCGGGTGGAGGACGCCAGTTGCTGCCGAGCTCGATAGACGTGGCGATGCACTTCAACACCGACCGGAGGAGGCTGAACGAAGAGGCGACGTGGACAGTTGGATTGGTGGAGGAGATGGGTTTTTGGGGTTGGTTCATGACATGGGTTCTGAAAATGGGTTAAATCCCAGTAAATAAAATATAAAATAAAATTTTATTATTTTTATCAACAACAATAACCTAGTCTGGTTGGTAAGGGCATGGCCGACCATGTAGAAGGTTAGGGGTTCAACACCCCTCAGTTACACATATTCCAGTTTTTAAAATTTTCTCCACCGACCCAAAAAGGAAACATTCAAGGTTAAGTCCATGAACTTCCTAGATATTTGAAACTAGCCCATAAGTTTCAAAAACTTGCAGTTTAGTCCATAAAATCTATTAATTAAATTTAATAAACTTAAAATTGAAAAATGGGATGTGACAATCCTCAAGATCATTTCACTTACTTTTCTACCACCTTGAATCTTGCCTAGAATACTGAATAAAACCCACTCAGTTAATTTCATAAACTTGACTTCACTCGAAAAAAAAATAACCCTAATCATCTATATTTATTGATAAAGTATCCTTAACTTACACTCTAATTGTATTGTCCCGACCGAAATCGAGGGTGATAGAGACTCCATGTCTCCATCCAATAGGTAAACATGATCTACTTCGTGTTGGCTATCATTAGAGTTGTTTATGGGTTAGGTTCGAATCAGACATATGCATAAGGTTAATATCTTTATGTTTGTCCAAATCTGATTCCACTCGAGATATGGGTCTCAAATTTTGTCTAAATTGACCCGTATTATATATTAGATATATTATTTTTTGGTAAGTAAAAAAAGGAATGAAAATGAAAATTCTAGTAAGTAAATTTTAACATTAATCCTAGTAAGTAAGGTACAAACAAGAGTGACTTGAATCTAAACCTAAATTTGATATGCTAACTTGCTAAGGCATCCTAAAAATTCACTTTCTCTTTGGTTAAAGGATTGTGCTTTGCTTATTTGCAAGGATAATCCTTTTCCTTTTGTTAGGCTTTAAAAATTCTAATTGCTTTTTAAAGAATTAGGCTCAATGGCTTAAAAATCCTCAGTAAAAAATAAAAATAATTTATTTAAAAAAAATGTACTAATTGAACTCTTATAAATCAACACATAATCGATTGATATTTTTTGCTAAAAAACATTTGATATATAAAAATTGTTTTTTATATTAAGTTTTTTTCTTTTTTTAAAATATAATTAGAGATTTAAGAAGTTAACAACTCAAAATTTTAAAATAAAATATTTTTTTTAATTGCAAGGGCAATGTAATTACTTTTACTTTTGCTTTGACTGGAGATTTTTAAAGAAGCACGTTCTGTTTTATTATTTTTCGAAATGTATAAAGTATATTTTCATATATAAATAATAGCACAAATCAAGTGTCTTTCGTGGTAAAAGTATTGTTGTTATTATTGAGGATCCGAGTTCGAGCACCATAGATGCTAGGGGTGTGAGTGTTCAATGTTGGAAGGTTGAGAGTTATCTTCGAACATATATTACCTTGTGCTTATCCCAGATTTTTCAAAAAATTTATTATAAATATTTGAAGAGCAACTATGAGAAAATAAGGGTTAAAAAAGTAACCTTCAACAACAGAACTAACCAAAACTGAATCCGGAGTAGAGGTGGGAATAGGCCAGGCCGACCTACAGGGGCCCTACGACCTGGCCTACATAAAAAGGTTAGACACATAGTTTTTTAAAAGCCTATTAAATTAAATAGGCCAGGCTTAGACTTATTAAAAAGCCTTATAAGCCTGATAGGCCGGCCTATATATATGTATATATACTTATAAGCCTTATAAGCCTACGCCCGAGCTCCCACGTTAAGCACCCGCACCCTTCCACCATTCTGCTTAAAATAGTGCGCCACTGGCGCGCGAATCAACCGAGCCCATCCATGCCTGTCAGGCCATCCACTTTAGGCCATCCACTAGAGATTCGTGAGGTTTGTATATGATTAAAGTAATTATTCTACTGTTGGGTTGTACTTTTATTTTACAATTTTTAATGTACACTTTAAGATTCTTATATGAAGCAGAGGTTTTAATTAGAGGCCTTTCTTTTTTCAACTTGTTAATTTACAGGGTGAAATCAACTTGTTAATAGCAGGCTTTTAAAAATGTTATCAGGTCAGGTCGGACTTCTAAAAAATCAGACCGAACCAAAATAAAAACCTTTGATAGGTTATAGGCCAGGCTCAGGCCTAAAAATTTCATCGTAGACCAGATTCAGGCCTTTTAAAGCCTGGTCTGACCTATTCCCACGCTAATCCGGAGAAACTCGCAATCTCGCTATTTTGAACAGCATACAAGTTGCTTCTCCTAAACAAGACATCTTACAAAGCGAGCTGATTATGACAGTATACACAACAACATCAGGTTTAATCCCGTTGATTTTCATGTCCATCAGCAATTTCCAGGCACATAAAAGGTTGCCTTATCTGCAGAACATGTCGACAAACAAAGTAGCAATTGATACATTCAAATGAATCCCTTGCCTCATCATTCGGTCGAGGAAATCCCAAGCCATATTTAACCCTAACAACGCCCTAAGCAGCGAATGGCAAACGCCAACCGAGGGAAACATGTCAAAACTCTTCATCTGGCATGTTAATTCAAATGCAGGATCAACCTTGTTTTCCCTAATACAACAATGAAGAAGCATGCTACATACGGTTTGAAAAACCATTCTATGACTATGAGTCTCGTAAACGAGTTTCAACAACACATCCACCGAAACTTCTTTGCTAACACTATCTCTCACTAAATTCAGAATAAAATCAACGGCTACATGATTCATGTTCCCGGACACTAATATATGTATCATTTTACAAACCGATTTATGCGATTGCAACGATCCAATGCAGTGCTCAGACAACTTGAAGAAATGCAAAGCAAGCTCAGCATTCGAACTCTCATGGAATAAATGAGTCAAAATCCGAATTAAACTCGACTCGTTCAAATCAACGGCGTGTAGATTCTCAGGGTTAATATCGAAACCTCGTTTGGAGAGTATGGATTTGATCCTACTCATGGGGTTGTTGCATTCTTCAGAGGGTTGAGTACTGAAATGTTGGGATTCTAAAAGACAAGAAGAGCATGAAGATAAATTATTACTGGGAATCTGCCTGAATGGTTTTTTTGCGATGAATAAGAGCTTGCTGAAGATTGAAGAAGAAACTTTCATGGAAAGCTTGGAATTTGTAGTTCATCAGCAAGAAATGAGCTGAAAATGGTAAAAAATAACCCACAAAAATTAATGAGTTCTTACAAATTCTACAGACAAAGTAGCAAGCTAATTTTATTCACAAACAAAAGAAAATGAAAATTTTGAAGAAAAAAATAGGGAGGTAGAGTTTGAAGAACCTGAGGTCGAAGAACCGAGGCGTCCATAAAATAAGATTAACAGTCGATAGTTTAGGTTTGCTTCAAAATATAAGCAATAAGGGTAAAATACAAAATAGTAGTCTGACTATTAGTGTATTTCTCTTTTGATCACTCACCTTGCAAACTTACCGATTTTATCTTTTTAGTCATTTTCCGGTTTTTTATTAATCTGGGATAAATACAAAGAAATATATGTTTCAATATAACTCTTAATCATTTAACATTTAACATCAAACACTCACACTTCTAGCATTATTGGTGCTTGAACCCGAAACATAAAAAATAACAATCAACCACCGAAGTTGTTTGGTTTGTGTTTTTCCCTTTAACACAATATAGCGTTACATGAGCCTTTCTTATATTGATACAATAGTCAATTTAGTCCTTAGAACCTCTCATTCTCCCCACACTGTCAACTTCTGCAACTAAACTACACTGTTACGTGTCGTTGCTAATAAGGATGAATATAAAATTTTATGTCACGGTTCACTTGGCTCTCAAAAGCACAATGCAAGTCATATCCAAATCCCACACTAGGGCTGTAAATGAGACGAGACAGATCGCGAGCTACTCGAGATCGACTCGATCTTGGCTCGATAAATACTCGGATCGAATGGACTCGACTCGAGCTCGAACTCGACTCGAGTTCTTAACGAGCCGAAACGAGCTACTCGATATTCGACTCGAAAAGCTCGTGAGCAGCTCGAAAAAATATTATATTATAATTTTATATTTTTTAAAATTACATTATTAAAAATATATTTAAAATACATTATTGATGAATAAATATTCTTGAATTGAAAATGGTTAAAAATTATTTTTGAATAAATATTCTTATATTTATTTTAAATTGATAAAAAAGTTTATTTCTCTAATGACAAATATTTAATATATTTCTAATGAAAATATTTGTAATAACTAATTTTTTAAATTGTTGTTATATTTTGAGGTTTTGGGTTCAAATATCATAAATATCAAGGGTTTGAGTATTTAATATCAAGATACTATATTGTACTTACCTCATAACTAATTATGTGATAAGGTTTAAGGTTTAGAGTTTAGAGTTTATGTGATAGGATTTAAGGTTTAAAGTTTAGAGTTTAGGGTTTATGTGTTAAGGTTTAGGGTTTATGTGTTAGGGTTTAAGTTATGTCATGAAGGTAACATACAAATTATGCAAAATGATGTTATGTAGCTCATAAATAAATTATTCACATACTTATACATAAACATATCAACATGCAAAATAAATATACACAACTAATTAAAGAAAACAATCCTAAACAGAGACTAAATTAAGAAAAATCTAAATGTGAGGACTAATTTAAGCTAAAATTTAAATAATTGAGGGACTGTTTTGTACAAAACGCATAAATCTAGAGAGCCTAAAACTAATTTACCCCTAAGGATCAAATTCGAGTTTGAGTTCGAGCTTTAATCGAGTTCGAGCTTGAATCGAGCTCAAAATCGAGCTTCAATCGAGCTCGAGTCTCGAGCTTCAATCGAGCTCTTGAATTTTTTTTGAGTTCGAGCCTTTTCGAGTTCGAGTCGAGTTTTAATATTATCTTTCGAGTTCGAGTCGAGCTTGAAAATTTTAGGCTCGCGAGTTTTCGAGTCGAGCCTACATTTAAAGTTTTCGAGTTCTAGTCGAGCTCGACTCGGCTCATTTACACCCCTATCCCACACAACTTGTATTAGCAGTTCACTTAGCTCTCACAAGCACAATGCAAGTCATATCCAAATCCAATATCACACAACTTATATAAGAGCAGATGTATTAAATTCCTCAGAGCTCAAGTACATCCTGTTATTTTGGAAAATTGATTAAATTTGTTAAAAAAATATACCCGTTATTTTTAAAAAATATTAAAATTTTAGAATATCATTTTATTAGAACTTTAGGTAAACTACATATTTAGTACTTAAATTATTAGGTTTGGTTCGTTTTAGCATTTACACTTTTTTTTTCAAAAGCATACCTAACTTTTAATTTTCATTTCATTTTAGTATCACTCCGTTAAAAATTAATGTGTTTAGTACCTAAACTATCAGCTTTTGTCCATTTTAGTACCTAAAACTTTCAATTTTTTAAAATTTAACGTTGAATTTTGAAGGATACTAAAATGAAACAAAAATCAAAGTTTTTAATTGGAGTACTAAAGTGAAACAAAAACTAAACTTTAGGTATGATTTTGAAAAAAATAAAAGTTTAAGTACTAAAACAGATAAAAACTTATAGTCTAGGTACTAAACACATAATTTACACTAGAATTTTACTAACCATACCCAAGGGGCCAAGACCACGCAAGCTCAATCAGAATAAAAAAATCAAGGGTAAACTATAATAGAGGTCACTTCCGTTTCATTTTATTCTGATTTTGACCATTCAACTTTTAATTATGTTAAAGTGATGAGTAAAATGCAACTCCAAGATTATAATATGCAGTTATGTTGCACGACGGTAACTCCCTCGATTCATCCCTGTAAATAAGTTATAAAAGCTTCATCGGAAATGAGACATTTGTACTCGTAAGTTATTCGAGTTTGTTCGATAACAGTGTGAATCTTAACTATAAAGGCAATGATACAGATTGTTGATGAACATGATGAGAATCGAGTCGCCATGGATCCTGAAGTTGTGCAGCGAACTGCAAAGTCCAAAGGACATCATCGATCGAAGGCCGACCGGTTGGCTCATCGGATAAGCATCTCAGACATATCTCCAGCACCGTCTTCAACGATTCCGCCGAGCATTCTTTGATAATCGTCGGATCCACAATGCTTCTTCGAGCTGCATCATCCATCTTGTTGCTCACTTGTAACTGCACACAAAATGAATTCAATTTCTATGTCCAACTATTCGTATTTTTCGAATCGTATAATCGTATCGTGTAATCGTATCGTATTTAATGTTATCATGGAAATACAGAAGAAACTCACAATATCTTTGACGACCATGACATCATTTTGGGAAATGATTGGCCTTCCAACAAGAATTTCCAGTAAGATTACACCAAAGTCATGGATATCATCCTTTTCCTCATCTTTGGCCCTGGATTTTTTTCAAATGTGACCAAATTCTTTTTGATCAATTCCGAGATAATTAAGAAGAAATTCACTTAAAACAAATCGTTTATAAGATTAAGAATGAAGAATGTACCTTACTCGAATATTCGGTTTAAGTCCATTGGATCCGCCCTGAAATCGTTAACCTATCAGCGAGTTCTTTCATATGATCGAATTCATATTTGTATCCGACACTTATATACTCTCTTAACATAAATGAATGTGTTTTCGGATTCGTAAACGTAAAAAACGAAAGAAAAACAGGTTGATGAACATACCATTCCTCCATTTTCAGCTAAAAGAGGGAGATTGTAACTGCAAATCTTGACATGAAAATTGGGATCCAACAAAACATCAGTAATCTTCAAATTGTTTGAAAAAACTCCAGGTATCATCCCTGTATGAAGGAACTGAATCCCCTTTGCTATCCCTATTGCACCTGCTATTCTCTGTGCCCAATTGAGCCTTTGTCCTGCTATTCCTTCTGCAAAAACTTCTTCCTTAGACATTCGAAGTTTCGTGTCCGATGCATATTCAGATATCGATATACGAATACGATCGTCTCAGAAAAACTCGTATCCAACACATATCAAACATCAAGTAACACAAACGGAAACCGATCATACATCAATCAAACACATCTCCTCGTATCCAACACTTACCGGAGATGGAACTTCTCAAGGTGCCATTTGAGAGGTACTCAAATACCATATATATGATGCCGACACTTGAATCATCAGGGCAACATTCGAAACAGTGTCCGATGCAACTAACCAAATGCTTGTGCCTGAGTTTCGAGATCATCTCGATGTGCTGTATCAATGTCGGGGGGCTGTGTTTTCGTCTCATCTTTAAACATCTAATGGCAATGGCTGTTCCATCTGCAAGTTTTCCTCTGTAAATCTGACATTTTTCCCCATCAAAGTTAAAAGATAATTCTTGCTGAATCGAATAATTTTCCAAGAAAATCTTTATAAGTTTACCTGAGAAAGTGAACCTTCACCAATGAAGGTTGAATGAGTGAAATTATCAGTGGCCTCCCTTAGTTCTTCCAAAGCAAAGGCGCGATATGTAGGAAGGTTTGCTCCCATCTTCATTGTTTCTGATATGTACCCTACAAATTCATGAAAATAATCACTAGAAGTTGCACTGTGTTTTTCGAATTCTTCATTTTTCTTAAATTATTCGTTTTTTAAACACATAATTAGATGATTGGTGACGGGAGATGATTGGATGCCAACAGTGGCTAAAAAAATTGAGTCAAAACTGAATAGTTTTAAAGTTTAGTAGCAAATTGATACTCCATAAAGTTCAGTGCTTAAAACGATGTCGTTTTGGACATTGATAGTAACGTCAAAATGACGTCATTTTTTCACGTCATCACGGCGACAAAATGATCCTTCCATATCATCGTGTTGTTAAAATTTAACGGTTTAATAGCATAATAGAAGTCAAAACTAGAGTTTAATTTTATAATTATAGGAATTGAAAGTTCAATGGTCTAAAATGATACACTGTCAAAAGATCAATGATATTTTATTCAGTTTACCCTTTTTTAAACATGATGTTATGAGTTAAACAATAATGTATATTTACATTATATTTAATATTATAATAAATAAAACATATCAAATTAAATTAAAATAAATATGTAAAATATAAATTTTTATTTTTTAAAATTAAATTTATAACAATTATACATGTTTTCAGTAAATATATACAATTTAAAATATTTTTTTAATAAAAAAATTAACATAACTAAATATGAAGTTTTCAAATTTATAATTAATTTATTAGTTATATATTTGCACTTATGTGTTAATAATAATAAATTATAAATTTATAATTCATAAAATAATAAATGATGAAATAAGGATCTTACTTGCATCAGATAGTAACTTGACTGTGTTAACTGTTGGTTTCTCTGTTATCAACCTCGTTGAAGCTCCTTTCATGGCGGCACCTTTCTTTCTTCTATGGAAAGCCCAGTAACTCAAACCAACAATCACCATTAATCCACCGATTCCTCCCACTAAACTTGACCCAACAACACCCATAGCTTTACCTTCTCCATGCTGCAACTTATCAGGCATAACTTTAACAGCCAATGCTTCGTTATGGCAAAAATTCGAAGGGTGCTGATCTTCCTCTTCGTCGGAAAAACAATTCCCTCCGTACGAAACAAACCTTTTCCCGACGTCATTTTGTTGCTGCAGACACTCCGGTAAATCGCCGGTCAGAAGATTGGACGACAAATTAACAAACACAAGGTGTTCACTGCACGACGCGTTGATTAGCAGTTTGCCGGTGAGTTTATTATCGGAGATATCGATGTATTCGATCGAAGGCAATGAGAAAAGAGACGGCGAGAACGGTCCGATGAATGTGTTAATGGAGATATCAAGCTTTTGGAGTTGAAGATAAGAGGTTAATGCTTCATTCGGAACGCTGGATTGGAAACTGTTGTTTCGGATTTCAACGGCGACGACCTTGGGATTCAAAACTGGGAAATCTGGTCCGAATTTGTTGTTTTTCAGATCAAGAACTTGGAGATTCGTCAAGTTTTGAAGACTGGGTACTCCGCCATACAAATGATTATCCGCCATAGCCAAAACTCGAAGGTTTTTTAAACTCGAAATCGAGCTCGAAAGAGACCCAAAGAGTGAATTATTTCTCAAACCCAGCACAGCTAAATCACTAAAAGAATCAATCCAACTCGGGATTTGACCAGTGAACTCATTATGATCAAGAATAAGCGTCTCCAAATTCCTCAAATACGAAAGTTCCAAAGGGATGTAGCCATTGATGTAATTCGAGCTTAAATTGAGTATTTCCATGGAAGAAAGCTTACCGATGGTAGCAGGTAAAGGTCCCCATAACCCCACAGAGACCAACGAAAGCACTTTCAGATTCTGCAAAGAAGAAACGCTGGAAAACAAAGCGTCGATGGAGAAATTGCGGGGCAAAGATGGCGGGAAACCGCCATTGTTGGCGATGATATGAAGCTGGGTCACGTCATCTTCGTAGCAAACAACGGTTAACAATGGCGACGGTTCGAGGTTGCAGAAATCCCAGGTGTTGTTGAAGATGCTGAGAAGCGATGGGTAATTGAGGAATTGCTGGATTTCTCTGAGGGCATTGAATTGAGAGGGTTGAAGCTGGAGTGAAAGATGAAGGAAAGTCGATAACAATAGTAGATAAGTGTGTGTTGAAACTGGATTCGCCATTTTTAGTTGTTGGAGACGAAGATTGCATGATAATATATTATACTACCTATAAAATTTGATGATTAAATTATTAATATTGATAATTCGTATAAATAAATAATTTTTTTTATCGAATCCATCAAGTAATTTCAACGTTAAAAGAGTGTTATTTTAGATGTTTCGAATTCGAGTAATGGAGTCTGTAAAGTTATTATAATACATTGCAATCACATTAGAAACTAAGATAAAGTGCACAAATAGTCCCTTAACTATAAGGTATTAATATTTTTAAGTCATTTGACTATTAAAAGTTATAAGATGATCATTTGACTATATAGTATTGTTTTATTGAGTCCGTTGACTATTAAAAGTTATAAAATGATCACTCGACTATTCATAGTTCTAAACTCGTTCCTTTCTGTTAAAAAATTAACGGTCGTTTGAACTAGATGTTTATATGATGACTGAGATAAGATAATCGTTTGAGATTATTTGATCAAATTTTATCATATCACAATCAAACATGTCACATATTATTTTAAAATAATGATATAATACATATCCCACCATCATTTTAGATATACAAGTTTTGTCATATAAACAATTAACGTTGATTATTAATTAATTAACAAATTTCGTTTATACAATAAACATTTTATCTTAAAATATAATGGAATGTTAAGATCAAAATATTTTTAAAAATTATTTTAATAATTTTTTTATCGGTAAAAAAATAGTTACATCTTATGTTCAATCCACAATAATTATATATTCACGAGAGTTGGAGTCTCATCATTTTAACAAAACTCATTTCTTTTATAAGATTTTTCATTGTTTCATCACGTGAATGATGATAATTTCCAAGAAAAATATATATACTTAAATTTATTTTTAAAAAATAATTAATATTCATGAAAAATATACAAAAGCCAATTAATATAAACAATGTAAAAATGGAACAACACAAAATCCAAAAGGTGAAAAAATAATTTTAAAAAAAAACATCACATGTAGGTTTTGTCTTGGCCAGGCCATGCTATTGTCCCAAGAAAGAGACTAATCACGTAAAACGGGTTGCATTTCCTCTTTCAATAATGGTTTTGGATTTACCTTATTTAAAGTAACACATTGAATGACATGTGTCACGTTTATATATATATTTTTTAAAATAAAATATTATTTAAAAATATTTTTTTAATATGGACGTGACACGTTTCACTTAACGATTTTTTAACGGTAGTCACCTAAAAGTGTAACGGAAAAAACACTAGACACTTATTTTTAACGAAAAATTCTTTAAACACTAAAAATCAGTTTAAAATATAGTTTAGGCACCTGAAAATGTATTAAGTCTTATATTTAATCAATTCTTTCTATCTGATTTTGTATTAAGATATTTTATTCATGTAATGTTCATTTATTCAAATTAAATCAACACATGATATTTGATAGTATCGTTTTAAATTTTATTATTTAAAACTCGTATAGATATTCGGATCATATATTTAAAATAAATAATAGACGATGAAGGTTCACACAGTAATATCGAAATAAAATAAAATGAAGATGATAGAAGGTTAAATAATTATCCTGATAAAGTTTTAAATTTTAACTGTTACCAATTGATTAAGAATTTTTTATAGAATATATATTATTTTATTAAAATAAAAAATATTAGTAGATTTGTTTAAAATAATTTTTTCTATCTGTAGACATGTACGTTATCAATTGATTAAAATTTTTTATAGAATATATATTATTTTATTAAAATAAAAAATATTAGTAGATATGATTAATACTTTTAGAGAAATGACCATTCAGCTCAGTTGGTAGAGCACAAAGTTTTTAATCTTGAGGTCGTGGGATCAAGTCACATGGAGGGTATTTCATAATTTGGAGGTCTACTACGGAAGCTACTCTCAACCTAGTGTTGGGGGCAGCCTACTATCTTACCTCCCCTTAACCTATTACATATGGGAACAATGGACAACCATTAATACTTTTAGAATATTTTAATTTAAATAAATAAAAGAAACAATATTGAAACTAAAAAAATTCATCCTCGTTGTCCAAGTGTCATGTTCGAAGAAACTTCAATGGGGTCCCCTAAGTTCACGGGATTTACAAACCCCCAATTTTTTTCAAGCGTGAAGAAAGATCCCATTTTGTAGTAAAAACACATTTCACATAATTCATATTATAATCCTAAAAATTATATAAAACAATTGTATTGAAATTATATATTTATATCATATTTATATATTTTCACACATCATTGTAGGGATAATTTTGATCTTTCCATGCAACTGGAGATAAATTCGATAGTTTATCAATAAGTTCTTGGTATAGTTGACGTGTATATTGTATTATTAAGAGGAGAATTATATAATTAATAATAATTATTATAAACTTTAAATATAAACCGTAAAATAATTAGAGTTGAGATCTATTTATACTATGTAAAACTAATAAATTTTGTATTCATTTGTATTCATTAAATTTAAATAAATAAATAACTTAAATTTAATTAAAACTTATAACACATAAATAAATATTTCTTTAACGTAAAATAATATTTTTTCCTTTTTAGGGTTAGAGTTTAGGATTTATATATATATGCAGGGATATATATATATATATATATATATATTACAATATATTGCAAGAACGTGTTATATGCAGTGATTTATTTGCAGGGATTACTTCTCATTTCAGACGCGCATATGAAGACTGCATATGAAGAATGTTTAACTATGTATTTATTTATTTATTTGTACATACATTGCATTTTATCTTTATTTTTAATTTTTCTGACTATCGGAGGTCTTACACGGAAACTGCTCTCAACCTTGCGTTAGGGCCAGCCTACTACCCTACCTCCCCCTTACCCCATTGCATATGGGAATAGGGTTTTGTTGTTGTTGTATATATATATATATATATATTGAATTGAAATAGGCCGTAACAAAAGGCTAGATAAGATCAAAGTCTTCTTGCAGAGTGTTGCCTCCAAAGTTAGGAGGCTGGCGAGTTCATCCGGGGGGAACTAAAGCAGCACAGACCAAAATGATGATCTGGGATGAGCTTGGCCATCCTATCTGCAATCTTGTTACATGTTCTTGCAATCCAAACAAATTTTGTTGTCCAAGCACGATTCCTCAAGCTCATAATAGCACGTACCAGGGGAATGGAACAATCAGATGCACCTTCACCATTCACAAGGTTGACCGCTTGGCTACAATGGGATTTGTCACACCCCAATTTAAAAGGCTAAATGTTATTAATTTAAAGTATTGGATTAAAGTAGTAATAAGAGAAAAGTTGAGGACAAATAGTATAATGTTATTTGACACCGTCGACGCCAATATGTTCCTGACATTGAAAGGAGTCGATCGGTGGTCATGGTGTCGTCATCCCCATCACCGTTAAATGAGGTGAGAAAAAGGAAGTTTGATCGTTTGTAAAGATCCGCTTATCGTCGCGAAAGGATGCTTGCACGAGAATCCCAAGTTGACGATCTACATATCTGGAAAATTTGGTTGCCATCTGACCACCAGCGACGACATATGCGCCACACACGCCGCCACCCACAAGTGGGCTTCGTCTGTAGCTTATGGAGATTCCAAAACCGGTCTGGATCAGTCCAAACCACCCGAACTGGTCCAGACCGCCCGACCGAGCCATCTTATCGAGTCGATCGAGCTGCAATTGAGCTAATCAAGCCACGATCGATCCGCCTGACCGAGTCGATCGAGCTGTTGACTGTCGTTGACCGTTGATAGGGCGTTAACTTTTTTCGGGTCAACCTATCCTGATGTTTTTCGACGTCTTGAGTCCGTTTTTGGGGTATGTTTAGCCAAATTAGAACCTGATAAGTTGTTTTTCAATATTTTATCTTTCGATTTGATCAATTTTTGATGTAATTTATATTGTTATGAATCCGAGATATTATGGGATGTCGAAATCAAGTGTGAGGGCAATCGAATGAAGTTTAATTGGTCAATCGTTATGCACGAAAATTGAGGTAATACTTTACTACATCTTTGCATATTTTATGAAACACGTTGATAATGGATAAATGCATGGATGTATATGATTGATCTATTATGCATGTTTAGTTATGGATGGACTCGAACTGAATACAATTTAAGTGATAAATTGATTAAGGCTCGATTGAATTGTACAAAGGAATTGGAAGATTGTTAAGAAATAAATTTAAGGTTAGTGATTAATCGACAAAGGAATTAATCTTAGAATCCTTAAACTTTGAATATTATCATTAAATGTTTTGATGTCGAAATTGCTTGGAAAGGAAATTACGAAAATAGCCTCATGAAGTAAAAAGAGAAAAAATTGACTCGAATAGTGGAATTAACCTGATAATTCATTCTTGACCTGATAGAACTACAGATCTACTGACTGAACTCCTGACTTGTTTGGAAGACCTGTAAATCGATTGTAAGACCTGTAAATCGGTTGTAAGACCTGAAAATCGGTTCCTAATCCTCAAGATCAGTAATAACTAAAATAACCCTAAAAAGTCATCATTGATCTGATATACTACTTATTCACTTGATAAATACTCGGCTTGTTCAAAAACTTCCTGATTACCGATTTTAATTCTTGAGGCGATAAAAGATTTAGAATTTCTTATTTTGGAATAATCACGCAATGATTAAATTACTGGAAATGTTGATACTACCAAAATACCCCTAAATTTTAAAAGGACGGAATACCTTGAACTCTAAGATGACTGAAGCAATCTCGAGTACAAAAAATGATCCAACTACCCTCATGACCTAGAAATAAGTGAATGTTTTTGGAAAATTCTGGAAACACCGAGAAAACCTAAGTATTATATTGCCCCTAAAGGCTATGGAGTACAACTCAAGTACGTCGATCATCTTGGAGACTATTGCAACATTTAAATAAAACAAATACCATTGGAATACATACAGCTCCTTAAGATCCGTTCAACGATGGTTCTGAAGATGAGCAGTTCGACTAGTGTTGTTAGTATT